AAAATTTTGCTGGCTAACTGTGACCTCTTAGCTTTGAACCCAGGAAATTCTTAGTTAGTGCCTGACGCCGTGGCGTCAGGCAATAAAAGGCTTTCAGTTTGTAGAAATATTTCAAAACGTTTTGCGCTATAAATATACAGTTATTATTAGCTAACTCTAAAGTACTTTATCGTACTAGCGTACTCTGTTTAGTAGGACTAACTCTCCGGTCTCTCATTTTTTTTTGGAGAGCTACAGATCTGCAGCTATACTGTATATGAAGTTTGATTAAAATATCTTGGATAGTTTGTTTGGAAATGAGGCAAAGTGTGACGGAAGGAGATACGGCAGGATGGAAGACGTCCGACATGACAAACACTATATCCCAAGCCATATTCATGGTGGGGCATAGAAATGTCGTGTATGATTATTGGTTTACATAAAAAATAGATTGTGACTTTCTTTCGGAATTCAACACTAGCCTTAACCTACATGTATATACGCATTTACAAAAACAAATCAACCCAACTTACATTCTCGGCTCAGAAGGAAGACATTGTATTCATTTTAAACATGTTAATAGAGGGGGGGGTGTATTACTTATAGTGATGAGAGGAAATTTAACCACGTGTCGGTCCATGAAACATGAAATTTTTGGAATGTTTGTATACAACTGCGTGGCTTTCTTTGAACTAAATTAGAATTTATTGAAATATTTAAATTATTCTTTTAGGGACGCCGTGATATATTTGGTATTCTGTGTAATAACTGTTTGGATAAAGTGTCTTTTGAAGGTACAACACCTTTCTTTTAATATTACCAAAGGATTTGCTGAGCCTTTTTTCAGTATAGTCGAAATGCATGGGAGAAGGAAAAAAAACGTATGTGGATTGTTCAAATACAAATTAATGCGATTGTGTTTTTCATCTAAATAAACACTTTTTTTTCTTCCCGTTTTCCTTTTTTGTAAAATGCCGTTTGCTTTGTTTAAAAGCTTGTTCATACGCGTTACCAATGTAAGAAGAGAAAACAAGACGTCCTCAAGCTATTTATTTCTAATGATGAAAACACCGAGGACGATGAAGATAATTAAGGTGAAACTATTTACTGACACCCTAGTATCTACATTTGATGTCACCAACATTAACAATGACTGACCGGAAGGATGTTTGGGAAAGAATTTAAATTGATATTTTATTGTTGAGATACTGGTTAATGATAAATAGCATTAACTAATTTTCAATTTTTTAAAAATCGTATTCTGAAACTCTGGATGTATTTTGGCCGTTATCTTCTATGCAAAAGTGCATATATGTATATTTATACTTACATTGGCTGTACATGTACAAGCATGTAAAATCTTGCAATATTGAGATATTCTGTATATTCAATGAAAAAGTATTTTATTTTGTACAATAACATTTTAAGTTTAGTAGGAAATAACTGCATACTCAAAAGTGCTTAATTTAATGTTGGATGTTTTCCCGTGAATTAGAAACGTCACCTCCAATTACAACTACCATGCACGTGTGTATGTAAGTTTAAGATTCATAAAACAATATCCACCTCGATAAAAACAGGAAAAAAAAATATATTGCAAACCCAGCTAGTGTTTATTCGGCTATCAAAATACATAAAACTAGTGCTAATTGTAACGGGGACCGTTACAGATGTTCCCCAAACGCTCCCCAACTTCCTTTTGGTGCCACATTCCCTGTAAGCTTCATTAAATAAGACAAACTCTATGCATTTGAGGCTTTAACAACATTTACCCAGAAAGTACCAAGTTCATTCAAATTTTAGAATTCCACGCGTGCGCATGTGAATGCATGTGCGTAAAGACCATATCATCTTGTCTATACAATCTATATATTTCAATATACTAAATATTAAAGTATTTAATTCAAAAGTATAAAAAAAAAATACGCTCATTAAACTGTATTTTTGATTTTACTCATTTCACGTAGAAGCACGTGCATACATGAGCATGATGGCATACTTTCTTGTAGAGGTCCACTACATCTATCTATGTTCTAATTCCCACCCCGTTTGATTGAAAACCAAGGGAGTTATAGCTGTTTAAAGTTTCAGCCAATCAGATTGCAGTGCACGTACACGCACGTGTATGCATGTGCATGATGACTATACCATCTTGTAGAAGTCCATTATATCTATCTATGTTCCAAATCCCATCCTGTTTGGTTGAAAACCAAGGGAGTTATAGCTATTTAAAGCATAAGCCAATCAGATTGCAGCGCATGTGCATGCATGCGTTTTCATGATAATTGCTATACATCTTATTGTAGGATATCCTAATACATGCCTATGTTTAAAATTTCAAAGGATTTCATCAAAAAACAAGAAAGATATTGAGACTTTAGTTTCAGCCAATCAGAGCGAAGCGCACGTGCATGCGCGCGAGATCTTACTTTTTTGACCATGTCATTTTGTTTATGCTTCTAATATAGACTGATAATATGAGTTTCAAAGCATTTCATCAATAATTTAAATAATTACGTCTGTATCAATTATATTGGACATTTCTCGTGTTGCACGTGCGAAAGCACATGTGCATGCACATGCTTTCATGATAAATCTTATAATACAGGCTGTAGATCTCCAATATATGACTATGTTCAAAATTTCAAATGATTTTATCAAAAAACAAAAAAGATATTGAGACTTTATTTTGCCAATCAGAGCGAAGCGCACGTGCATGCGCGTGCGATCTTGCTATTTTGACTATGTCATCTTGTGCTTACTACTAATTTATCCTTACATTACAAGTTTCAAAACATTTCGTCACAAAATAGAAAAGTTACGGTTATATCCATTATATATTGGTCATTTTAAGTTTTGCACGTGCGCGCTCTTGAAGCACGTGCGCGCAAAATGACCTTGATTACAAATCTACATAACATGCCTACTTACATAAAAAGGTTTCACCTAAGTCGGATGTGTATTTACAATATCACCTCGATAAAAGATTTTCCCAGGAAGAAAAATAATAATAATAATAATAAGTTAATAATAATAAGAAACAGATAAAAATACCCCAACAACAACTTGCAATGAATAAATGTACAAGCGATTACGATTGATTTTAAACAAGCTGAAATAGAGTGAAATTAAATGATATGAAAGAAACTACATGATTTCAAACCCAATTTTCCATTTGTAACTATCGGAGTACACAATGGATTTTCACATATGCCCACTGTTCTCTGCAACCACGTGCTTGTAAACGAGGACCGGGCAACACAACTTTAGACACAAAGCGACAAAGCTGGATATAAACTGTTTGCTATATTACAAATGCGTGAATAATAGTATATTATAAAGTATTTTTTATGTTCAATGTTTATTTAATCTTTAAAAAAAATGATACCCCGGTAAATGGAGAAACAAAAGAGTGATGGTAAAAATAAAACGTACATATACAATATTACTTATCACTATCCATCACTAATTATAATTATTTGCCGAAGCCCCTTCTCAATTACAATTGAAATAAAATACATTTAATAACGCAGAATAGAGAAATTTTTTTGCGCGAACAGGCCAAAGAAAGCGAACACAAAATGATTTTATGCACCAGTGTTTGGAATTACGATTCAATATAAAAGATAGGTAAAATAATCTTATTGAATCGCGATGTAATTAAAAACACAGTTTTCTATTAATTGATAGGTCTTTGTACACAATGGTCTTATACAATCACAAACATTTGCTTTGTTTATGTCCACAGGTGGCTGGCACAGTATGTACACTGGTGACCGCGATCGGCAGCGTGGGATCCGCGGCTTGCGTTACATAACTGTAACATGGGGGTCGTAAAATGAATACAACTAATGATCGTGAATTATTCGATGTATAAAGTTTAAGATTAATTATATAGTTTGTTACAATGATAAACGTAGAAAGATAGATTTCATATCTTCCGCTTTGAAAGACGTTTTCACTAAAAAACTAATTAAATAAAGAAAAATAGAAAAACTAGTTGTAATAAATAATTTAATAGTTAATCATAAAACACGTTTAAAACCTTATTTTGAAGAAAATCAACATGAAATACCGTAGGGTATATTATTTACAGCTAGTTATACACATGAAGAGGTCAGATTTACTTGCCGAATAAAAACGTTAAATGCTTACCTGACCTACTTTCAACTGCGTATTATGCAATAACCCCGGTATATTCGAACGAATAAACATTCTCATCAGATCGAAAAGGTGTTGAAGAACAATTTTGCTCGTAAGATCCAGATCGAAATATTAACCGTTTTTGAGTTATAAAGCAAAAACTTCCAAGCTCCATAGATCCCTAATTTTAGGGGCCATGCAGCCCCTTTTTTATAGTATCAAATGAAAGCTCTTGCAATTATGCACAACTTTTGTTCAACATGTTTTAACAAAATAGTTTTAGTTTTTAAGATATAAAAGAAAATATGTCGAATTTTCTGCTGTTTTCCGCGTTCTAACTTTTGACCCCTCTCTAGCGCCATTTTTAATGCAAAAATAAAAAAAACAAAAACCGATGTGCACAACTTCAATGCTTCCTCTCCTCGATTTCAAAGGGTTTTGTGCTCCAATTATTACCTTTTTTGAGCCTTTGTCTGGAAATCGGAGGTATGAAAAATGCAATCAAAGGACAATAACTCATTAATAGAAGGCAATTTCCGAATTTTGAAACAGAATTCTAAAAGGGTTTGAGAAAGTCTAAAAGCTCTGAAAATTTGAACAAAATCCGTTCAGGAATGAGGAAGATATGAAGCGTCAAAGTTGGCGTCTAGGAAGAAAACAAAAAAAAGAATAATAAGAATAATCTTAATCTTCAGAATCAGTAGAAGGTCTTCCGTTGGAAACGGAAGACCTTAATTATAGTAAAATAAAAATTATGACATTTACACTCCCACCAAAATCAGCATGATTTTAGACATTCAAAGTTTCAATAAAGGTGTTAAGCTTGCAATCTACATATCGTCTAGAATACAACATACAACTATAACATAGCAGTTACATTAATTTGCAATGAGTAGCACAAGCTTGTGAACTGTTCTCTCCAAGACTCCAGACTGCATTTTCACCTTGACTCTCCGTACAAGACCATCATCGTCTGGGTTGGCTTCGACAACTCTACCGAGAGGCCATTGGTTGCGTGGCAGGTCAACGTCCTTCACCAGAACAATGTCACCTTCCTTGATGTTCCGACGAACTCCATGCCACTTCTGTCGTAAGGTGATCTGAGCCAAGTACTCATGTCTCCAACGGGACCAAAATTGTTCCATAAGGTACTGTACACGTCTCCAACGTTTACAGGCATATATGTCTTCCTTCATGAACTCTCCAGGAGGGGGAAGGGGAGAAGTGGTCTTCCCAGTTAAGATGTGGTTCGGAGTAAGCGGCTCCAGTGAGTCTGGGTTGTCTATCTCACTAACCGTTAGTGGGCGTCCGTTTACAATAGACATCGCTTCGTAGAATACGGTTCTCAGCGAGGAATCATCTAGCCTTCCAGGACAAAGTAATAGTATGGCGTTGAGTATGTTACGGACGGTTCTTATTTGACGTTCCCACACACCTCCTGTATGACTAGCACTGGGCGCGTTAAACACAAATTCACAGTGTTTCTCTGCCAAGAATGAACATATTCTTTCCTTGTTAAGTGCTTTCTGGAACTCATTCTTAGCTCCAATGAAGTTGGTTCCTTGGTCCGAGCGCAACTGTCGCACGGCTCCTCTAATTGCGATGAAGCAGCGCAAACCATTAATGAACGCATCCGTAGACATGTCATCTAACATCTCAATGTGGATAGCACGAGAGCACATGCAGGTAAATAGTAACCCATATCGTTTTATTTCCTTCCGTCCCTGTTTCACAATAAATGGGCCGAAACAGTCCATACCGCAGTATGTGAAAGGCGGAGATGGTTCCATACGCTCCTTGGGCAAGTCTGCCATTCTCTGTGTCTCTGTCGGTCGTCTCAACTTCCTGCATATAACGCACTGACGTATGTAGCTGGCTACTGTCTTACTTCCTCCTACAATCCAATAACCAAGAGACCGGAGCTTGTTCAGGGTAATTCCTCTTCCTTGATGAAAGGTTTCCTTGTGAGCATGTAAAAGAATCAAGTGCGTGATATGACCATTTCTGGGTAAGATTATTGGGTTCTTGTAAGCATCAGACAGGGTTGCCTTCCTCAGTCGGCCTCCGACTCGAAGTATCCCATCTTGTAGAATTGGTTCTAGGGGTTTAAGGGAGTTAGACTTTGGTAGCCCTTCAGATTTCTCGAGAGCGCTGATAGCATCTTGAAATGTTTCATGTTGAACGTGTTTGATGATAGTTTGTTCTGCTTGAAGTCTTTCATTCGGATTTGGTGGATAGGTTCCCTTGACACCATTAGAAAGTCTCTGCATTCTGGCAATGAAGGATATCATTTTGGTCCAAGACGAGAATCGAGACAGAATGTCAAGGATACTAGAATGAGCCTTTGTTTTGGTACATAGAGATCTTGCAGATCTTACTTCAGGGTCTCCAAGTTGCAACTCTGTTTCAACACCTTTGTTTTCAATGATGGGCTGCCATAGTAATGGAGGACCGGTCAGCCATGAAGAATCATTAACTTCAGATGCACGTAGTCCACGCGAGGCGTGATCGGCTGGGTTGCTGGCAGATTCAATGTATAGCCACTGATGAGGTCTTGTTGCCTCTCTTATCATCTGTACACGGTTTGCAACAAATACGTGGAACCTGCGAGCCTCGTTGTTGATGTAGCCAAGCACCACTTTAGAGTCTGTCCAAAAGTACTCTCTGTTGATAGGTAGATTCAGCTCCCTCTTCAGAAATAAACTGACCTTCACTGACAATACTGCAGCTGTCAATTCCAAGCGAGGTATCGTTACAACCTTTAGAGGTGCTACTCTTGCCTTTGCGATAACTAAAGCACAATGTACCTTCGTTCCCTTTACAACTCTAAGGTAAGAACACTGTCCATAGCCATTTGTGCTTGCGTCCGAGAAATGATGCAGCTCAAAGGTTATCGGTTTGCCAAAATCACTTGGTATGAGGCATCTTGGGACTTTGATGAGTTCAAGGTTCTGTAGATCCTTGATCCAAGCTTCCCATTCATGTAGTCTGTCTGCGGGTAGAGGGTCATCCCATCCTATGTTACAGTACCACCAGACCCAACCTGACACAAAGCAGTCCCAGAGCAGTCCTGGGGACTGCTCTGGGACTGCTAAAGCAGTCCCACAGCAGTCCCTGAGAGCAGTCCCACAGCGGTCCCATAGCAGTCCCAGAGCGGTCCCAGCAGTCCCAGCAGTCCCAAAAAGCAGTCCCAGTGGGCGGGGTTTATTAATTAAATGGGCGGAGCTAACTCAAAAATGAGATTTCCAATAAACAATGGAACTATAAAAGGCAGTAGAAATTGATTCTGGGTAGTATGCCAGTAATCCTTACATGTACACGAAGGTCATTTATGAACAAAACATGTACGCGCATAAAAATTGAAATAATTATTAATAATATTTATTTGAGGAAGAAGGTTTTCACATTTATATGTACATATATGAATTACACTGAACATGAATATTTAATCACAATTCTTGGGTACATTAATAATTCTTCTGTGATTGATACTGGTTCCCATGTTTATTTTATATGCAGAAAATTAAAAGTGAATTAAATATTTTCCACCAGAAGAAGCTTTAAATAGATCTTATCATTATATGGCCAATTTAGACTATTGGGATACTCTAAAGTTAGAGTTTTCTTAAGTATTGGGGCTTTTAAAAAAAATCTTTGTTAATTTTGCCAAGTATTATTTTTCAGTCATGATTATTTCTACTGACATGTCAATTTAATTATCGTTAATGCCTAGTTCTATAAAACTCAGTTTTAAGTGTTTATTTGTAAATGTTAGAGTGTACATCTGTAAATCACCAGAATGGAAGCTTCAGATTATGTTCAAAATTAATTAATCCCGAAAGAAATTTGTACACATTTCATTCATATCATTGTTTTTGCAATAAATAAATTGAAATTAGGGTCATTGTTTACCAGCATGTTCAATGATGTGTAACACTGTACAAATACCCAAATAACATGTATCGATTTTTCTGCCCAAAGGCGATTGAAACAATGGGTGTTGATACCATCTTAGTAATAGTAAGATCATATGAAGAGAAATCTTTGTCACGAAGAATGGGCGGAGCGAAGCGGAGCCCATTCTTCGTGACGAAGATTTCTCTTCATATGATCTTACTGACTTAGAACAGCCAATCAAATGCATGGATTAAAAATAAACTCCTCCCACGGCTGTGTCATATATAAGGCTCAACTTGACCGCTCGTTGTACATATCGAGCACGCAGTCAATATCGAACACACGCGGTTTCAGAATGGACTCCCAACCCATTCAGGTTAGCACGGGATTATATGAAAAACCTTGATTTAATGGGGAAATGGTATGGTGAAGACGTTAAAGTTACTGAACTAATGAATACCATAGGCGTTGGAAGTAAACCCTAATTTTCAATGCCTATATTATGTATATATTTGCAAGAAAAGTGGGGGGCTAAGCCTCACCCCCCGGTTCCGACGCCTATGAATACCCATGTACCAAGAATCGTAATATCAACATTTTTGAAAAATGATTGTGGTAAGATGACAAGGCCCTAGTCAGCAGGAGTGGGTATGGCTGTTTAATATCAAATAAAAATTTGATGAAAATTGTGATTAAATCTGTCTTCAAAGACAAGGTTCGTCTCTGATATACATGACGATGGTTGTATTTTCTGTATGTACCGAAATGTGAAAAAAATAATGTTCAAAAAGGTGATAAAAGATTACAGTGGGAAAAATATGTAGCAAGGCCTAGAAAGTTTAAATATCATGATAGTAAACAGCACGTGGGTTTTGAATAGTTTCTTTTTTGTGTGCTGGACAAAGACCAATGAGGACACACCCATATAACTGTCAAGTGAACCAATCAGACACCGTTGAATTTTTCAGAAATAGGAAGAATTCTTCACCATGAAGAATCAATTCTTCGAGAGAAATGGAAGCATTGGATTGGCTGAATAAGTAGGTTATGTTCTAATACACATTAATCGGCCAGGTAAACACTAGCAAAATAAAAAAGATATAAATCACAATTCCCGGTATTTTCATTAAAAAAAAATAAATATATATGTACTCTTTTAATAACTTGTTTATTAATTAAAAGCTCCCGGTAATTCATTAATTCCCCAATGATTATTCACATAGTTTATGTTACGGGAGAATAGTAGCATAATTTTATTTCATGGTCATTTAATAAATTGTTGGGTTTTATTTGAGGGCTACATGGAATACTCTTTTTTAGCGTCATCCTTATAAAATGTGTAGCATTTTTAATTTTAAAAATCTTATATCTAACTGTAATGACTATTTTTAAATAGTACCAATGCAAATTTTGAGTACATATTATTCATGTTATAATTTAACATTAAATAATTAAAAAAGGTCCACATGAAGCTATTTTTTTCTCATAAATTTGTAGTTTATTTTTAGGGATAAAAATTTTCTCATGAATTCCTTATTTATCAACTTTATTTTTTTTTTATTTATTCTAATTACACATTAATTTGTGTAAATATACAGTCCCTGAAAATATTAATTAACTATAATAATCTCTACTTATTAAAAGAATGTAAGAAATCCTTGCTTATTAAACAGTTTAAACTCCTCTCTGCTGCAAGTAAACAAAACAACAGGGAGCCTGCAAATTCAGAATACACCAGGGGGCGAAGGTATCATGTCACCCAGAATCTTTTTCACACATGAGTGAACAAAGAAGCAGTCCCACAGGGGCAGCTGGGACTGCTTTTCATAGCAGTCCCAGAGTAGTCCCAGAGCAGTCCCACAGCGGTCCCAGAGCAGCTCCACAACAGTCCAAAGCAGTCCCAGGGACTGCTTTCTGGGACTGCTTTGGTGTCAGGTTGGGTCTGGTCGGTACTGTACCTTGACACATCTCCTGCAGTATTCGTTTCCCAGTCAGAGTGAAAGGGGAGAGAAATCCCAATGGGTCGAATATTGATGCTACAATGGATAGCATACTGCGCCTAGTAGGAGATGCATTCTGGTCGATGGCTTTGAAGCAAAATGCATCCTCTTCAATGTTCCACTTTATACCAAGTGCTTGTTCCATAGGTAATTGTTCATGTGAAAGGTCTAAGTCTTTAACATCTGCCGCTCTCTCTGATTCAGCAACAGAATTTATTACGTTCTTGTTGTTGGAAATAAATTTGTGTAGACGCAATCCACCATTGGCACACAGAATCTGTGCATCTTGTATCAACTTGATAGCTTCTTCTTCCGTCTCAACACTGGTGAGTCCGTCATCCACATAGAAATTATTCGCACAAAGAATGATGCAGCTCTGAAGTTGCTCTTCTTGGCTTTTGGCACTTGAGTCCATAATTAGCACATCCTGGGGAGGAAGCCGCGCCAAACAGGTGTACTCTCATACTATATTCCTTGGGTTCTGCATCCAAGTTTCCATCCTCCCACCATAGGAATCGTAAGAAGTCTCGGTCTGCTTCATGTACAACAAACTGGTGGAACATCTTCTCCACATCACACATGACAGCCACAGGGTGTTGTCTGAATCTGCATAGAACCCCAGTCAAAACATTTGTTAAATCCGGACCAGTCAGTAGATATTCATTTAATGAAGCCTCTTTGAATCTTGCTGAACAGTCAAAAACTACTCTAAGCTTTCCAGGCTTTTTCGGGTGATAAACACCATGATGTGGGATATACCATGTATTTCCACTGACACCATCTGACGATACTGGTTCGGCGTCGCCTCTTTCCAGTACTTCTCTCATGAAAGTCTTGTAATGTTCTTGATATGTCTGGTCTCTTTTAAGTTTTCGTTTCAGATGATCTAAGCGAATCAATGCAAGTGACTTGTTGTTAGGCAGGGAGGGTCGCTCCTTGAATGGTAGAGGCATTTCCAAATGCTTATCCTCATGCTGCTGTATGTGCGGTCTGTGTATCCAACCACGCTCCAACCAAGAAGTGTCTGGATGCCATATGGCTGGTTCTCGTTTCCTGTTAGAATTCTTCTTGGTACAAGAGCTTGAGGACAATTGTATCCTATCAATAGTCCAACTTCACATGACTGAAGAGGTGGTAGTTCGTTGCTAAGCTCCTTCAGGTGTGGCCAGCATATTACGGTTTTCCTTTCAGGTATATGTGAGCGATCCGCGGGAATGAAGTCTCTCGTATATGCATTGTCTATGTCACAAATTCCGTAAGAACGAACCCTCTCACTCTCAGGTTCTGTATACGGAAACTGTTAATGATAGTGTGCTGTGAGGTCATGGTAGACAAGCTGAGACGTGTTGGTTGTCTATTCACATGCAAGGCAGCAGCTGTTTCGTCTAGCACAAAGGTAGTGTCACTTTGTGTGTCTAAGAGAGCATATGTCAATATCTCGTGCGAGGGGTTCTCCTGAACAGAAAGCCACACTGGAATGATCATGGAGGTGCTGTGACCATATCCTCTGCTCACACGAAAGGAACTGGCTTCCTTGACCTCTAATTGTTGCTTTCTTGTTCATCTTCATGCATGCAGGTTGGGTGTTTTCCCTTGCAGATACCACACGTATGCTTCTTCTTGCAGTCCTTGTTTCTGTGGCCCTTGCGTAGACATCCAAAGCACAGGTTTTTCTTACGCACTACCACTCCTTTATCCTCAATAGACGAGTTAATAAATTTCTCACACTTGAACAAGGGATGTCCTTCTTTCTCACAATACTAACATTTATAAGTTGGGTCTCATGTCAGTTCCCGTTGCATTGTGCTGATGAGTTGAATTTGTTGCGAGGACATTTGCTTTGTGACTCGAGTTTTTGTGTATCTGGCAGGTTTATGGTAGATGTCTTTGAGCGCATAGATTTGACGAGACTGGATTACAAGCAATGCGAGTCTCCTTTACGACGAAGTCCACAAACTTGGAGAATAATGGATATTCACCAGTAGAGTCAATAGTTTCTTGAACTTGACGATTCCAACGCAGTGCAGCCCAATTAGGAAGTTTGCTTAATAGTAGAATCATCGTTTGTGGTGCTGTTCGAGTTGACTGTAGCGTTGTTAGTAGGTCAGGATGAAACGGAGCATCGGTTCAGCCCTGCAGATATATATAACGTTCAGACTTTCCTCTGTCCCACAAGTAAAGTGTCTTTGTTTGTCGTTTGTTGTGTCTCATTATTCACTGGTTCAGTTGTTTTCGTTATTAATCGTTGTATCATAGTTTTCGTTGGATGTTGTTCATTAGCTGTATCCGTTGACGTCGGCGTTGTTCCATCCCGGGGTCGTTTTGTCATCAACCTTTGACATCTTGATGAGGCTGAAGTCAAATTCTTACTATTAGTGGCTTGGTCATAAAAGGAACGTTCATATATACTGATGATGTCTTTATTAGTTCAGGATGGTTACATCAACGTAAGAACTGTAAAACAAATACAAAATTTATCAGTAATAATTAACAAGAAAACCTAAATTACAAAAAGTACACAAACATGCACTAGATCAGACCTTTGGTATACATACACATGTAGACTAAGATTTTCAAATATATAAATAAATATCAGCTAATTGACTAGTAATATGTAATATAAATAACATCTATACGTTTAGTTTAATTCACTACTTAATCTCAGTAAAATTATTACCAGTGACAATCAGAAAATATGACTTTGCTACTTCATTTAAAACATGTAAACAAACTTGGCGCCTTGCCTTACATTACCGTACAAAGGGCAATAACTCTAAGTTGATAATCACACAAAATTCCATGTGCACAACAAATAATCTCACAACCGATAATTTACATAATGAATCAGTTCTATTTAATCATTAAATTGGTTTGATATATGAATACCAAATTGCTATGGGACAAATCATTATCTATCAACATTTGCCAACTACACGTGGGTCAAAAATAGTCATGTAAACCACCTGCACATGTTCCAAATTGCATCCATCTTGTTTTGTGTTCTAAATAGGAAACATTCATTAACAAAGATCAGGGACGTTAAACGTTGCTATGAGCATATATCATGCATACATAATTGCTAATTACCTTGTTCTCCTGACCAAGTCGCTAAGTTTTAACTATCGTTCTGCGTTAACGTTCAGATATAAAGATGTAGGCAGAATTTGCATAATACACAGATACTTGCAGAACCAAAGATAAGAAATAAGCCATCCGGAATTATTTACAAAAAATTATTACACATGTTATTAACAAAATATTACAAATAAAAGACTTCATTAAAATTATAGTAAAATAAAAATTATCAACTACAGAGAGGCATACTTTCTAAAGATATTGGTGGCCGTGAAGCGCTGCTAAGCTCAAGATGGCAGGGATGTCTAACCAATGAATCCGTAGAGGGCACGTCCTTTCTTTTCAGGGCATTAGACAACGTCCATGCATTGCGGTGACGGTCTTCCTCTTGGCATGCTCCGTGTAAGTGACAGCATCGCGAATACGACATGTCGTTCTAAGGAAAATTTTCAGGACACTACGGGTCTCTTCATAGATGGTCCAGAGATCGTTTGACTCCACCTCTGCTCAAACGGCGGTGGCTGGTTTGGTGATGCCCTGGATTTTGTCCTCAAGATTTTTTGTGACGCTTAGTGCCTTTTCCAACCCCCTTTTCCCTTTTACCATCCAACATTGTTATATCTGTATATATTCTACTAGAATGCTGTAACCACCTAGTAATATATAGCGCCAATTAACACCGCTAAAAACAAAAATTTGAAAACTTCGGTAGTGCTTTTTTGTCCCGAAGGCAGACAGTTAGCCTCGTAATGATTGGTTCTGCTGCTGGTGTTAGTAAAGTTGAAAACCTTTTACAGTTGTATATTAATAATTTTATAAGTATATAACATTGAAAAAAACATAAATAAATTTTTAAAATTTTAATTAAATATACCAAATTCATTGATAAATTTGTGAACTGCTGAAAATATAAGACAGTTCATATCATAAGATAAAGTGTCAGTACCCCATAACAACAGGTGTGTGTCTATTAAAATCATTGTCCAGTCAAAAAGTTTGTCAAAAAAGATTATTTCTTGCTCTTATATATCTTTTACAAACAAAAAAAAAAGAAGATAAACATCCTCTTTTTGACCACAGATACAGTTAGGAGATTCAATAATAATCCTTCTGTAAAGACTTTTTTTTTTTTTTTGTTTGTTTGGTTGTCCCCACCCACATTTCACTGTAGAAATGAGTGCTTGTTTATATCACTTGTATACATATATCATGAAAAAATACAGAACAGCATTGAGTAGACTCAGATTATTTCACAGGCCACAATAAACAAAATATTTTTTTTTTTGGAACAAATCAAAAGATGAATATCATTTTGTTCAAATATGTTTTTTTTAATGTTATTTAAAAGAGAAAAATAAATTTATGTTTCATTTTTTATGCACCCCCCACGGGTTCCCCCCCCGGCCCCCCCCCCCTTGGATCCGCCAATGCGACGGATAACAATCAAAAAGATCAAAAAATATTATCGCCCACATTCAGAAAAGCGGTGGACAAAAAAAAATAATTACCTTTTTCTATATATGAAAAAATTTTGCGAAGGAAAAACCTATTTCGTTGATTTTGGGAGACTTTTCTAGTCCGTTTGTTCCCCTTTTAAAAACTTTTAATCACATGTACGTGTGTTTTATAAGATCTAATGCTATATTTCGTAACTTCTTCTTAGAAATAATGTATACACTTTTAAAAAATCCCATGCAGAAAGTGAGGGGGTGGGGGCACCATGATTTAGCCTTAACCAAGAACCGTAAGCACCGGCACCTTTCAAATTTTAAAAATTTCGTTTTTAAATTATCATTATTATAATTGAAACAAGAATGAATACAATAAATTAAAGCTAAAATATGGTTTGTACCCCTAGCTCAAGGAAAAAAATCTGATAATCGCGATTGTTTTTCTTGTTTATTTTTTTCTGTTCGACTATATCCCCACCGGGTTTCCCCAGCTCTACATTGACCTAAATCCCATGGAATAAATTACTGTCCCGGTCCTAAAGAATTGTAAATATTCGATTTCTTTTTAAAAATAATCTGGGTCTAAGTCTTTCTCGAAGACAAAAAATATAACACAGATTTCTTTACATTTTTCAGGTTCGGTAGTTTTCGTACATTTCCGATTTCCGAGTCTACCGGCCACACTTCATGTTGTTACGCACAGCGCCTTTGCACACAGTCCTTAAAAACTTCAACAACGGGTACAGAAAATGTTCATTTAATACGCTAATGGTTTTGGGATTTTTATGTATTAATTTGTAAGTGGACCCCTCGTTCACCGGTCAACAGAAATTAGTATATAAAAGGTGAGTATTGTACAATTTATACAAATGTACGTACAGTCCATTAAAAATAGCTTCAACTGGCCCTACAGGGTACACGGAATTTTGATTCAGAATGCTGAGAGCGGGTTAGTCGTGTTTTTTTTTTTATGTCCATGTGAAGTTGTATGTAGAAGTTCCTCCACCGGTAAAGAGAAATTTAGGTAGACTGGTGAGCTTTATTCTAAAGAAAAAAAAAAATTTAATGGGCCCAACAAAAAAAACCCAAAAAAAAAAATTTTACCCTGATCACTTCAGTCCAGAAAAAAAAAACACCCCCGATTTTGGTTTTATAATTTTGTTTTATTTGTTTTAAGTTTTTTCTCTTTTTTAGTTAGTGTAGATCTCACCTTTGAAATTTTTTAAATCCTCACACGATGTAGAATTTTTTTTAGATATTTCTAAACATGTATTTACAATGTCTTTAAATTTAAAATATCATTATTACATGTACATGTTTTCAATTTATGCTAACATTATGAGGAACATGTTATATTATGTTAAACATATATCAATGGAGGAAAATTTTTAGATTAAAAAAATACAAATGTGGAGAAAATTATGCAAAAAATTTTCAAAATAATTTGGGAAAAATTACATGAGGGAATGATTTTTTGTTTACTCATGAATGGTTAATCGTGGGGCCAAAGTCCGGGGTGAAAAAACATCGGGATCGTAATACTGGAACGCCATTTGTGTGACATTCCGTGGCGGGAAATGAGAGGTTGATCACAGGGCTAGTGAGACGATGTTTAATGAGCCACATGATACTATTTATAGGTAAATCTGTTTTTATTTTTAAAAACTAAACAAAATGAAGTTTTAGCTCTCTGGTCCGAGATCAGAAGCGCTTATCGCCTTTTGTGATAGTTTGACGTGTACAAGGTCTTTGTTGTCTGTAAACAATTTAAGAAAATGTTGTTTTTTTTATTCTTACAGTTTTCATGTTTTTAATGTGACCAACGTCTTTTGGAGTGTCTGTTCATCTACTTGCCCGTAAAATACATTATTTGGGGACAGTTTTCATTATTTTCTTTTTTTTTTGAAATTGGGAAAAGTTCAAAATTGAATAAGAAAAATATGTAGCAGTTCACCCTAT